GCGGAGCGCGGCGCGGACCGTCCGCGGCCGCCCGCCTCACCGTGCGCTTTCTCCTCCGTGCAGCCCCTGCTGGAGGAGGCAGAGACGTGGAAGGAGTGTCAGCTCGTCCGGCAAGTGAGCAGCGAGGTGAGCAGGAAACCTTGCGCCGCTGTTGTGTTCCACCCGCTTCTTCCCCTCGCAGATCTGCTCCTGGAGTTTTCTGCCTTACACACCATCCCCACCCTGCCACGCTTTTGCTTTAAAAAATAATGGCTTTCGTGTTAAGAGTGAAAATATTAGTATGGGGATAAAAAAACCCACCAAATGTTACTACTTTATTAAATAATAACCATGTCATCCGAATTTGGCGTTGGTAGTCTGGAACAATGTTCGAGTGGGTGGCTGGAAATAAATCTTGTACTTGAAATAGAAGGTGTAAGGGATAAAGCACAGAGTTTTTCCCCAGGAGTTTTTCACATTGCAATCATAACTTCCCATTTTGGCAACCTGGTCTGACATCAAAATGTTCTTCGTGCAAAAGCCCCTTAAACCAGAAGCTCTAAGAAGAAGAATATCACCTCACACTTTGATCATGTACAGGTAATAACCAGATTACCTCAGACTACATCTCTCTGGAGAGGGAAAGTGCTTTTTCTTTTCCAGTGAAGCAATTAAAAAAGTTGTCTTGAGTCTCTTTATAGCTATCGAATGCTGAGTAACTACAATCAGGTTGCATCTTCTAAAAAGCACCATGATTTTGAACTCCAGGTCGCAAAATGGATTCAGACAAACCAGAGGATCAGAAAAAGCAGCAAAAAGAAAATGAAGCAGGATGAAGTTGTTTTCCAGCAGGTAAGCAGTCATGATGTCAGTTTGTGTAATGGGACAAAGGGCGGAAGATCCAAATAGCTTCCTGATTTTGCTTTCTTAAGCTTAGTAGAGATATTGGTGTCTTCAACAAGATGATAGTAAATGGATGTTACAAGATAAAGTTTCAGAGCTATTATGTAGTTACAATGGAAAGAAATTAATAACCTTTTTAGATGTCTGTGTTCACGAGACAGAATATTAATGTATTTGTATTTAACTGGAACATTCTAAGGAAGAAAGAGAAGGGTGCTTTCAAGGGTGCAGAGATAAACAGCCCTTAAGAGCTTTCGACTAGATCTGAAGCACTATTTTCAGATACTGGTAGGTGAGAGACAGTCTTCATCATAGATTTTGGGACAACAATAGGTGTGCATGGTGAAACAAAATATTTGGACTATGTTGCTGACTCTTCATTCAGAGGAGGGTGAGTTTGAAAATCATCCATTTGTAGTACAGATTTCAGTTAATTAAAATATGATGGTTATTTTAAAAAATACAGAGGACTTTAAAAGCTGAATACAAACAAATTTAAACTAGTTTTAAATTGGTGAATTTTAATTAATTAATTGTGAAAGACCTGTTCAATAAGGTTGAGTTCACAATTTAAATTACAATGTAGAGAGGTAAGTAGTTAGCTGGTACTAAATAGCTATTTTCTGTCCCTTGAGGGAGAAAAAAGTGAATAAAGATGCTCTTCCAAATGCATTATTAGAACTGTGATTTTTTTTTTTGCTTGTTTCGATTTTGAAAAAAAAAATTATGATTGTATTTTAAAGCTCTTGTAACCTTTAAAGGATTGAAATAGTAGTGTGTTGATGTGCTGTTTCGACAGTGCTTCTAAAATGCATAATGAATCATTGTTTCTGTAGCTAAATTCTTCCTGATAGCATGACTGCCAGCTCCTGGGATATGTTGCCTTAGTATGGGCATTGCAAGTATATGACAAATGTCCGCAAAGTGCATTGTTGTGGGTGGATGATTTACCACCTCCATGGTTAGCTAAAAACTGCCAAATAGCGTCCTTTAATTCACTGATTTTATTTTGTAACTGGAGTACAAAATTTAGGAAAGATGTTCTGTGGTGTTGTGCTTTAGAATGGTGTGATCTAAATAGATAGGTAATTCCATTTCTGTTTATATTTCTGTATGTCAATGTGTGTTTGTGTGTATGTGTAGCATTTGTATTTACAATCATTTTATGCTAAGATGAAGAAGATTTTTTTAAGATAAAAATTGTATTGCCTTAGGAATTTGTGAGCAAAATGCATTGATGGTACAACTAACACTAGTACAAACCAATACACATATATACTGAAGCAGTTTTTAAATGGTGTATTTAAAAGAGGATGATAGATCCTCTGTTACGCCTGAACAGTAGGTTTAAAAGTGCCTTATGTTGTTATACCAATCCTAATCTCTTTCTATAGGAGAAAGCCTCATTACTGCAAAATCCCTTTGTACTGATAAAACACCTTTTCTGTTGAGGATGCTGTTCTCCAAGTGTTCCACAATTTGAGAGAGAACTTCAGCAAGTACCTTGCAATGATAGAAATGCAAAAACTGATATGTAAACATAAGATATACTCATTGGTTTTTTCAAACAGTAATTCTAGAGCAAGGTCTGTGAGTAGACATATGAACTAAAATTGAAGGCAAGCATAATCATTGTCGTCTAATATCTGTAAGTATCAATAATTAATGGAGATCCAATGCAGATTCACAGCACTGCAAGGAAGAGGCATAACAATAATCTTATGTTTGATAGTAAATCACTGACCTTTCACTCTTTGGAATTCTTTATATTGCCTAGAAGTTTGGCCATTGCAATGGTGACTTTTTCAATACAGTTATAGGTAAGAGAATAGAGAAGAAATAGTGAGGGACCTCCCTGGTGCTAGCCGAGCTTTATTTTTTGGTTTTAGAGTTGGTTGCACTAGGTTTCCAACCCTGACTTAGGCAATTCCTACTCACTGTAGGTGGTGCTAACCTCTTCTATGAGAATTCTTGATCTTTAGTAGTGTCCACTTATAGAAGAAATGTCATTATACAAAAGTTAAAGTATCTTCAGAGATAAACAAGAGAACGAGAAAGAGAAAAGCGCGTAATGGAAACCTTGAAGTTGACATGTAAAGTAACCTTGACCATAGCAGAGAAATAGAAATAAAGATGTTGAGTGGAAAGAGGGAGGTGAGAAGGCAAGCAATAATAAACAGAGAAGTCAGGGAGCTAATAGCAGCTCATATTACATCTGTGATTAAAATAAGGATACTGATGTATTTTGCTACACCTTTAAAACTAAGCTTTGCTTTGATCTTGCTTATCCTTTGAAAACAAGCACTAGCTTATTAAATGCGGCTTCTAAACTTGAAAATAAGCACTAACTTTTTATATGTAGCTTCTAAACTTCCATCTGCCTGTGGTGTTGGATTTTCCTCTAAGGTTTCATGTGCCCATGCTGTCCAATTTTCCTCTGTTATTTTTCTTCTTTGTGATAGGAAGTCTAATTTCTAAAGGTGGATGAATTTGCTAAACTGAGTCACCACCAAATCAAAGCAACTGTGTCCAAGTACAAAATCTAGGACAGAAAGATAACTGTATGGAATAAGTGAAACAGAATGGTGAAGGAAAAGTTGCTGACAACTGCCAAGGAATTGCTTCTTGAAGAAGTTGCCTTCTAAACAGTTAAATTTGTAGGAGCTGATGGTTATGCATATTTTAAAAACATTTGGACACCATGTGCTGGATAGAACTATGTGACTGTAGTGTTAACTGTGCTCAAGAGGAACCAGTGGGGAAGCTTGTGTAGAAAGGTAAGGTGCTGCTTTCCATTGTGGATCCACACTGTGGATTACAACAGCAGTGGAACAGAATCAGTGAGTGAGAAACACTTCTAGCTGAATATCTGAGGGTTCTTATACTTTTGCTCTTCTTCTTTATTTAGTTTTTTGTTTGTTTGTTTGTTTGTTTTTAAGCTTTTTTTAATTTCTAACCTTTTTGTGTTCTATCTGTGAAACTGAAAAAGCTGTTATTTTCTTAACACCTTTTATGCCAAGTTTTTCTTTCCTACTTCTTTTTCACATCTCATGTCTTTTCCTGTCTTCTTTTGACTCATTTGGTCACCTTTGGTACTGTTCACCCCTTTCTGTTTATTTTCAGTGTCTCTATATGTTTGAAAAAAATGGAAAAACAAGTCGAATTGAAAAAAAAGTTACCTTTTGCTCATTCCTTATAGTTTTCTCCTTACAGTTCTCTGTAGTTATTCTTCTTACAATATGTGTACACATACACAAACTTAAACACATTCACACTTTGCATTTCTTCTTTTGCCCTCCTTTCTATTCTTGTACATTTTGTACTCCTCATTTAATGTTTTGCTGTCTCTTCATGTTGTCATTTATCTGGTCAACACATTTAGCTGTCAGTTTGTGTGTCAATACAGAATGCTGTTCGTGTGTGAAATTTAGAGAAGGTGTAACAGAGTTGATAGAATAATGAAGAGTATTATAGAAGTGTTAAATGGTGTTGTAATTATGATGTTTACTTTAATAGTTGACTGTGTCTGCTCGAAAAAAAATATTCCATCATTTTGTCTGTGTTAGGCAGAAGAAAATGATGTTCTAGTCAGACTAGTGGAATTGTGGCGTGTGATCTGTATCTACTGGGGCGAAATATCTTTTCATTAGAAGACTAATTCACTTTTACATGACATTCAGTATCAAAACATAAAAGCTGATTTGATCATATTTCAGTAGTGTAAAAAGTGTAATAAAGATGAGATAAAAAGGATACACAGGATTTAGGAAAAACATTGAAATAAACATTCATATATGTTCATACTAGATAAGGAACATGTTTCCTGCATATGATCAAAATTGCATTTGTCTGTTTTAGTTTGATTGCATACTAAAATTTTGGGGAATTATCCAACTTTTCTAGAATAATTTCTGTAGCTTTCTCAGAAATATGGTTTTCTTGTGTTTAGTTTGTCTGCTAGTTTTACTAGCAATGTGACTTTGACTTTTTTTCCTCTTGGTTGTTGCTATTGATCCTTTGTGTCACTCCAGAGAATTACAGTTGTCAATATTTAAGCTCTCTTAACAACCTGAGCATAAATGACTTTGTTGATACCACTTTTGAGTTTCTAATAAAAAAAAAAAAAAAACAAACCAGTTGTGATATATATGACTAATGCTAAATGCTGTCTTTGCCCTTTAATAATGAATTCATCAGGGTAAGTGAAACAGAAGAAAGAAATCTTGTAATTTTCTAAAATGAGTTGTCTTGTTATACTGCAAGTAGAAAATATTTCAGAGTCTCATAAGAAACACTAATAAAAAATACCATGTGCTATAAAAGACCTCTTAGTTAACTATAAAATTTATTCAGGATAGTGTGCTTCTGCTAATTCATGTAATGACTATTAACATACTATGTATAAAAATTACATTAAATCTTTAATTTGCATCTATTTTTTGTTTGTCAAAATGATTATTTTTATTTGAATCTACCAAACTAAGGATCAAAGCAAGGAGCAAATCTGAAATAGCCTGATGAGCTTGTGCACTGCTTAACAGCTAATAGAAATACGGTGAAAAATCCTAAATTGTTATTCAGAGATGCTTCAAGGTTTTATTTGCTGTACCAAATTCTGTTAATTTTGCAGAAATTTCTAGGAACCCTGTAAACTGGCCTTCACTGATTCCAGAAAACATTTAATTCCTTTCTCATTCAGAAATTTGAATGGAAAAATTTCCCCATCTCATGTACAAGATTGGATTTGCATTAAATGTTGTTAAGATCTCTGGAAAATAGGTACTGTAATTTTAAAACTTTTTTTTTTTTATGAGTACATAAGAATATAATTTCAGGCCATTGGAACTAAGCAGTTTTAGTATTCTCCATCCCTAAAATAGTATTTGCATTTGTGAATTGTTTGAAAACTTTTTAATTGTGCTTTTCTAAAGAACTATTGTTTTTTAGGA